GGCATCCCGGTGCAGGGCCGGGCTGAGCCATGTCTCACCTGTCCTTCGCTGCCGCTCCTCTCCCTGCTTTTTTACTGTCACTTGCACCGCACAAGTCGTCTGTAGAGCACTAGCGAACAGGAGAAATATCCCTTTGCAGTTTACATCTGCTTTATTGATGCAGACAACCCAGGGAGGAGCGCTGCTGTGAAAAACCCAAACCCACTGCTCTGCCCCAAAAGGCATTTTCAGCACCCTTACTGTAATAACAGAAACTTAAGCGAAAAGAGGTGTACCTTGGTCACAAATATTCACCTAAATATTCGATTTCAATAATTACTTATCACACACTCTCAAAATCTTCTTTTATCTGTGAAGTTTTGGAAGGGTCTGTGATCTGACACACAAGGATTTGTCCCATTTTCATGTTTAGGTGGCCTACAAGACTTAAGGATCATACAGACCACCTCTTACTGTCACCTGTTACTAATACTGGCAGTGTAAAAAGAGTTTCAAGGTAAGAATGGTTTTTCAGATGTATTCATCTGTTCCCCTTATTTAACCTGAACTCCAGTGATTTCTGTTCCAGATCCAGTACCCAAGCCCACCTTTCTCCTCCGTGAGCTGATACTTCTTTCAAGATATTGCTGGTGAGAAGGCAAACGAACACCAAATCTTCTATCGCAATTATCAATCATTTGGCAAGGCATGGTGCTTTATGGAATGGTGCACCAGTAATGGCCCTAATTCTAAACTCCCTCATTTGTGAAGAAGTGTCAATGGAGATAGGAAGACAGTAGTTCTGCTCTCTGAAATCAAGCAAAAATACATGAACAGTAAGGAACGCTAATGTTTGTCTAAAGGAAAGGTTTTAGGTGTTTTGGGTTTTGTTTTTGTTTTTTTTTTCTTTTCTGATTTGTGCCTTAAAGTTCAAACCTTTATAGAGAATATGGAGCAGAAGAAAATTGTAAAAATCACTAGCATTTATGTGGCCTAGTGTGCAGAAGCTCATAGCTTTGCACATACTGAACTTCTTTAAAGTTTCCTCTGTGAAAACCAAACCTGAAAGGAAGGCAAAGAAATGTTTTTATTCCCAGCTGGTCTAGAGCAAAAACTTCGGTAAAAGGCAAGACATGAGGAGGTTCTGATTACATGACACACTCCTGTAAAGGTTTTTCTTCATCTCTGCTAGTTATATGCTAAGGCCTGCACAGGTTTGCATATCCCAGTGGGTTTCTTCTGCAGCCCTTGATGACACACACACACACTCAAAAGAATTTACTCATTGGTTGCAGACAGTAGCAGTTTTACGGAAGCATTATATGTTTCTTCTCTTGTTCATGCTGTGCCACATCCCTTCTGATACTTTACAAACATGCCTTCTTCTGCAAACCTCACTGAAGTTCAAATCTGTTTCAAATTACACTTCGCAAGACAGGAGCAGTCACTGAGATCACTTGAATAACACAAGACATCTTTGACTTCGTGCACAGAGGCTTTGTCCACAGAATATTTGGGTCATAACAGCCCAGTACAACTGCTTCAGTAAAAAAAAAGTACGTATCTGCACAGGAAGTTTCAAAACCTCTATTTAGTAATTTTTGTGTTTTGCAAACTAGAGTACACTTTGGGAAAAGTCACTCAGATTGAATGTCACATTGCAAAGCAAGAGTAAGACTATAATTTCAATTTAGATAAGTGTTTTAAAATACTTCAGGTTTTATGATATCCTTTGTAGCTACTCACTTGGAAAATAGTAGAAATATTGGTAAGGAGCCTTTTGGTTTAACTCATTTTCCATGCATGGCAAGCTGAACTTGGATGGAAACATTCTTTTCTTAAAGCATCTTTTTGTTTTCCATTTTTCTTTAGAACTAACAGAGAAAGGCCTCTCCAAAGACAGAACTGTTCTTCTTGAACATGTATTGCTGAGTAGGAACAGAAAAGTTCCAACTGAATGAAGAAAACAGGTTTTTTTATTAAAATTATCCTCTCACTTGAGATCATCCCCCATGTAGTTCTCTAGCAAAGACAAATGAGGATGGAGAATCCCAAGAAGTACAGACTACCTGGCTGGCAGTAAAGCCGGATCCAGAGAGATGCAGAGTGGGGATCTCATTCTCCCCAGCTCCCAAAATAACCATGAAACACCTCGGTGAGACTACTCCAGCAGAATTTTTGAGGAAGTCACAGTATATAAAGAATCTTAGAAAGCTTCTGCCCACTTTAGTGCTGTGACTGCTGACAGAAGTGGGGAAAGGCACTTGCATCAATTCAGGGAGACACAGGATGAGGGGCAGCACACCTCCCACGCCCCCACCTTCTCTTGCAAATTGTGCCTTCTGTGAGGGACACTGCTTACTCCCCAGTGGTTTTGGCTGGAAGGCAGATGATTTCATAACTTGCTTTGATAATGAAGAGATTCAGTGTTGTCACGGGACCTCCGGATTTTGTCACTCTGTCCTCCCTCCCAAGGAATGAAATCATTGTTTCTTTGGGTCAAAATTAAGAGACTATTACAGGCAAAATGGCAAAATAACAACTAGCTTGTCAGTCAAATCCAAAGCTCCCATTAGGCTATTTTTAACAAAAATGTTACATTTTCAGCTTAAACCGGGAGCAAAACATCTGCAGAGACAGGGCACCTGGACACATGTACTTATGATGGAGCTGCTGGTAATCTGGATTGTCACTGCTGCTTTCAAACACTTCCAGCCACAGAGTCGATAGGTTGTTCACAGCATGTCTGAAGAAAAGCACTGGCCATATTTGCCCTTTTCCTGAGGCTGCAGTGCCAGCCTGTATGCAGCCCAGATGAACACAGTTCTCAGCTGCTTATTAGATGCAGGCTTGCAACCAATCTTTTCCTCTGGTGTCTTATTTGAAATTTGCGGAAGATACTTTAAATATTTCCTTAAAATCATTTCTGGAAGAGAAAGACTCCAAAGAAATGAGACTTGGAGTGTCTGCAAACAGTAACAATGCATGGAATCTGCTTTGTTTTACCTTTCTGTCTGGATTTGCTCACATTGTGTCGGATAATCTGCACATATAGCTGCCTCTCTTCTATTAGCCAACAGGGTTTCAGAAGGACATTTGTCTGCCCACCTCAGATGAGTGATGGGCTAGTGGTGTCCGAGCGAGTGGTAACCATGGAGGAGTGGCAGACACACAAGGTAACCTCGGCTGACTAAAGGAAGTGGTCTGGGAGAGGCAGGCAGGGAGCAGGGATGGCACTGGTGCTGGTGCAGTGATTTCCTCACCAAGCTTCATGTGTGAACCAGCTGATTTTTGTTGACATGTGAGCCCTGCAGACAATTCCATCATTTCTAGAGCTTATACATTCTTAAATCAGGGGCAGTAGTTACACAGTGCTTTTATCCAGAAAATGGGTAACATGAAAATTTGCACACTTCTTGAGGAATTAACAGATATACAGTAAAGTATCCAAGTAAACAGATTTTCATAGCAAAAGTGTATACCCACACTGTTCTCCTCAGGAAGTGGGCAAAAATGATGAAGATACATCAGTATAGACTTTTGTTCTGATGATCAGTATTACCACAAACATTTTTTAGAGTGAATATGTGTATAGAAAGTAATGATTTCATGGTAAGGTTAAGAACTTTACTACTATGAAATATGATTCCTTTAGCATCTTATTGCTTATGCATAAGTACATAACTTCTTTAAGTGCTTCTGTGAAGCTCTTGATGCAGAGTTTCAGACAGATGGGAAGTCTCTTCAGCTTCAACAGCAGAAAGGAGTTCAAAAAATGTTCTTTCAGGACTGCACTATTTCTAAAATCGCTGACCTGCTGAGATGTTTGCTTTGCTGAGAGCACAACACGCAGTGCAACATTCACTTATCTCTTCAACTTTCTGGAAACACGGCATCAAATACTCAATTCCCTCCAAAATCTCCAGATCATTTATGTATTGTACACTCAAGCCTACCATTGAGATAAGAGTTAACAGCTGCTTCTAATAAAGCCAAAATGCTACTGTCCACCTTCATAAACCCTCCTCTAAAGGTGTCAGTTGCCAGTCTCCCTCATTCCAATCTAGAGGCAATTAAGCTTCTGATGCTGACACCACTATTAGACTTCTACACCTGAACAGGCAGAATCCATCCAGGCCTAAGGTGATGAAAAATACCTGAGAATCCCTTCCTTCCTATTTTATTCAGCCCAAAAGATTCAAAAAGGTATGTTCCCTCATATCCAGGACTCCTTTAGATAGACCTCAATGCTACATGTCAAATTGGAAAGATTTGTTGAGCCATGTATAGTGCTGGGACAGAGCTACTACTCCCTTATCTGTATGTTTTCTCAAAATACACAATATACAAACCACCTGACCTCTACTTTGATCCTTTATATGGGACTCTCTCTCTTTCTGCAACACAGGCTAAACCATCTGCTTCTGAATATGAAGATGACACCTCAGCACCAACACAGTCCCTGATATTAGAAAGCCTACCACAGACTTATCTCCACAAAACGGGAAAATAATGTGAACTTATGGGATGTTGATATCCAAAGAAACAGGGGATGCAGCACACACCACTATTTAGTATCTACACAACATCTTCTGTGATGAAGACTGCACAGAGTTACAGGAACTGCTGGAGGAAACAACCATTTGCTAACAGGTTCAAAAAAAGGAACTTGCATAGTTTGACAGGACAGTCTTACCCTTTTGCTGAGTACGGCCAAGTGTACATGGCTCTCATTAAGTAGTGTCCACCTCATCCCTCACAAGGCGTACTACACAACAGAGTGTTTCTCATTCAGCCAAGGAATTGTCCACATACTCAGGAACTTCATGAACTTGCTAACTTCCCAATGAGATATGGTGGTCAAGGAAGATTACAAATACTACAAGTTATCAGAGTAAACACTTAGGGAGGGCAAGGAACATATCCTGGAAGAGCACAAGAAGCCTCAAAAAGCTGTTATCCTTTCTCCATCTCCCTCCTTTCTCTCCCTCTATTCGGTCCTTATTCACCTTTACTTCTTTTCCAGGATTTTTAGAGGATTTTAAGTCTTTTACATTGTTTTAATTCTCATTTTTTCCTCATTTACCATGTTTCCATGAACTTTCATTTTGCTGTACCAAATGAAGTCCTTTATTGAATACGCCTCAAGTTTCACGAAGGGAAGGAATGTTGCCATAACAGAAAGATGTACTCCCTCTGAAGTCAAAAAGCAAGTCAGTTCAGACAGAAAGACCTCAAATTTTTCTGAGACACAACATTAAACAAACTTGCATTAAACTGATGAGCAGCACTGAGAGTTTAAACAGTCTGTAGTTCAATATAATGAAAATCTGATAGTTTCCAGGGGGATAAGTGTGGGGCTGGGAGTGCAGATTCAATACAGATGCTGATATGCACGATATGCATAAAAGTCATTGGGTAAGCTGAGATGCATTGACCAGGCAGGCATCTGATTAGTCTCCTTCATATAAATTTAACTCAACCTTTTCTTCAAGTATGAATAAAAATAAAAATTAATAGCCACTCCTTTGGAAAGAAGTACTGAAGCAGTAAAACTTTCAAGAGCCTCTTTGAAGCTGTGAATTTTGATTGTTTGAACTCTTATATAACTTAATGGTGACAGCTTTTGTAACAAAAGAAATTCTCAATACTGTTATTTCTTCTATTACAGCGTAACTGTTCTTGGGTTTCCAAATAAAAGCAAGTAGCTACTTATGGGATTACATGGATGTAAAGGATGTGTATATTCACATCCATTCAGTCTCTATTTCCAGTGGCCTGCAACAGTCTGTTACTAAAAGAGGTTTTTCATTCAGTCCTATAAAATTTCAGCAAATACGTATCACTGTGTTAAACATAGCAATTAAGTTTTGATGAATGACTGTTGCTTTGCAATTAAGATTATTGTTTTTATTTCACTTCTATCTCCTTAAAAATCTCACACAAATATTTTGCAACCCCTTCTACACACCCACTGATTTTTGGATCACTTTAAAACATTGAAAAACATTTAAATGTTTTTAAAACAATACATCATTTTCTGTCCTCTAATAATTACACTCAGACATGCAGAAGTCATATCAGGTAGTTATTTTATCTAACCTTGCAAAAACATCAATTTCTAACCATACTAACACCAGAGTAACCAGAGAAGTAATTTTACTTTTGTATATGTGACTAGTAAAATACAGTTTTATGTCTCTTTTTTTTAAAAGAAAAAATAGAGAATGGATAGAAAAGAGCAACAAAAATCATCTGAGAATGAGAAAAAAATATTAAGAACCATAAAAAAATCTGTTTAGCTGTTTCTTTAAAAAAAAAAATTAAAAAAAAATTGAGAAGTAACTTGATTACAGGATAAAAGCACCTTCCTGGGGAGAAAATAGTGAGTCCTAAAGAGCTCTTTAATCCGTCAGAGAAGGAATAACAAGAATCCATGACTGGAAGCTGAAGGCAAACAAATGCAAATGAAATAAGTTAGAAAATTTTTAGCAGCAGGCATGATTACTACTTGTATTATCCTAGTACCTGGAAGCCAAGTCATGGATCAGGGCTCAAGTAGGTGCTGGTAAAAAAAAACTCAACCCACCCACTCCTCTCCAAAAAAGACCCCCAATGCCAAAACAAAGAGGAAAAAAAAACCAAAACAGAAAAAAACCCCATCTCTGCCAAAAGGTTACAAAAATATGTAAGATGAAGTAACATAATAAATCAATGATAATATTATCTGATATGACAGGCAGCAGTTTCAGGCCATGGTTTCACGATACAAAGTGTTGACTTGAGATACTGGCTTAAGGTGATTCTTTTGTATCAAGACTGTTTCATCCTGATCCCACAATTTCTATACAGCTGTGAAATGATGAAAACTGACACTTATTAAAAAAACCACAGTGTTAAAAGCAGGGACTTCATTTTTTCTTTGCAACAAAATGACAGTGGAACTGATACCCTTTTGCAAGCATTTTGATTTTCATGAATTTCAGTGAATGGGTTGAACAAATTTTCCCTAACAGGATCCCCACCTGAGCTGTTTACAGGACATCTGAATTTGCTGTGGGGAAAGACTGTATATCCTAGGGAAAAACATGCAAAAGCAAAGTATGAGATTGTTCTGTTTTCCTCAGAGCAAATCACTGGCTTGGTGACCAAATCTCAAGTACCATCAATAGATAAGGTAGACATTAACAAAAACTGAAACCAAACCCACAGTCTGGCAAGATTTCTCTGAAAAAAACTTATCCTCCTAATAAAGTCTAACATAAAAGATAGAGACATAAGTTTGTGATTCCCAACAAGATTGCTCTGGCACTGGAGCTTACACACCTTGGTAGCTTAAAAACACAGCACGCCACTACGTTTTGACTGGGAAGAAGACTAAAGGGGCAAGTCAAGAGCAGTATTTTCTATTATTTAAGTTTTTGCTACCTATGTGTGAAATCAAGGATCACATGGATCGCCCCTGAAATTCATTGAGGAGAGAACTGGGAGACTCTGGGAGCATCTCCTCTTATCTTCCAACAGAAGAACACAGGAGAAAAGCCCACCTTTGATTTCTGTTTCTTCATTTAAATTATTAGCAGACTGCAGGAACACCCTCAATGTCTACAGCACTGAGCAATTCTGAAGGAGCCAGTTTCTTCGGCTGGAAATGCTGAAAAGAAAACAAAAGCTAAAAAGCTAGGGTCAATGCTACACAAATATTCCCTGAGACTTGAAAGCAAACTGGGTATACCCATGGCATTTACTACCCAGTCTTCTTCCTTCCCTTCCTCCCCAGAGGTGGCCAGCCTCCTCCCACTGGCTGATGTTCTGTATTTCACTGAGCTGGATGTTCACGTCCACATGCCAGACAGGGAAACTGTTACAATCAGTTCTAAAAGCCTTCATTTTTCTCTTGTTCCTTGTTAAAAATACTTCAAGCTATATCTATAATAAGCTACATTAAAGGAACGCCATTTCATTGCAAAGTTTAAATACTTAACAGCCTTAGTATTCGGCCTCATGCACCCTGCTGAATTTTTCCACAGGACCACGGCCACCCTGTGTATGCAGGACATGCAGCTCAGGAAATGAATCAGGGTTGTGTATCGAATTAGATTATTTATAGGTTGATATATGTGTTTGCTCTAGGAGTTATGCAAAGAACAAGACAGACAACTACAGGAAGAGAGCGATGGGCATGTGGTTAAGGCAGTTGAATGCCACACAGGAACACTCAGTTCTGCCTTTGCCATTGGCTTCTGTGAGCAAGGAGCAAGTCATACCAAGCACCTTGGCAGATGGCCACCAACCTTGTCTTCCTCATTTTCTGGGAGTCCAAACTGTAACACCTTGGGCCTTTCACACAGAAATGCAAAACAGATGATGATAATGGAAGGTTTGGCTCTTGAGGGAGAAATTGAGCTGGAGGCAAAAGGTTAAAAGGCAGGAGAACCCAATTAATATCATTGACTCTACTACTGACTGAACAAGTGGCTCAATTTTCTCCTTGGTCAAACAGGACAGTGGTGCTTTTCTGTTGTTCTGGGAATATGCAAAAATTCATCAAATACTGTGAAGATCTTACCTTACAGTGCTTACAGAAGCACTGTAATAAACCAACAAAACAAAAAAGGTTTTTCTCATTCTCTACTGAGAAAGTTTTGATCTTTTAATATGTTAATTATCACATATTGCTACGTATTTGCTTTTTAAAAAATACACAAAATAAATACTAAGATGCATAGAGATGAAACAGATCTGTTTTCCCTCTCGAACTCTTTTAATGTGATTTTGCAAAGTCCTTTCCAGCTTCTATCAGGGCTGTAACTTTAGTACTTGGTGAAACTGCAACATGGTCATACGAAATACACAGGGAACAGCACTCTGTGTAATCAAAAGATATTCACTGGCTCACAAAAAAAATAAAAATATCCTCACTCTCAGCTGTATGTCATGTAATCACAGCCACAGAAATAGAAAAGCAACAGGAGATCTAGTAAAAGTTAATGCCTTTTCCTACTTATTTTATTGATCTGCATTAGAGTATCATCATATTGAAAGCTTTCAGTACTAGTAGGCTACTAAGTTTGCAAAATAAAATAGATATACTCTGTGTCCGCCAAGGAAAAAACAAATCTACCCACATCTTGAAAGAAGTTCTGAATAGTTTCAACAGTTACTCTGACTTAAAAATCTGAGTTAAGAGAAACACCACAATGACCGAAAACACAGGTGATGATCTCCATTTTAGATAGGAAGACAGTAAATGTAAAAATATAACACAATAATCAGAGCAATCATGAGATATTGGCACATGACAGAACACAAATATTTTAACAATGTCTGACAACATCCCAAGCACACAGCTTCTGAATGCTACTAAAGTGATGAGCATAAGACTCAAAGACAATACAGTTTTTTGGGTAATTTTCATCAATCAGAAGCAGGTAGACAGGGGAAGGAAATAGAAATTTAGGTTCAGGCCTACAATCAGATCTTCAGAGTAGGAACTTGCAGTCATCCAGGAGTCCCATCAACTCAGTCAGGCCCCACAGCTATCAAGGTCCATTTGAACAAATCCAGTGGCAGGATTAGGGTCTAAATATCTAAATAGAAAGAGAATGAAATCAGGTAACACTGTGCACAGGTGTAATTAAAGAGACACCAAACTAGTCACAGAAAAATAATCTGAGTGCCTAGACCATGACAAGATCTACATTTTTACCATAAAATGCTGCAGCTACAGGAAAGGCTACAGTGATATCTTACAACAAGAGGCTTATACAGCGTTAATTGGTCACAGTGTATTTCCCTTCAGGCAAACATGAGTACCTGCAGTGTGTTTGCTCACCTCCTGCGTGCTGCTGCTTTTTCATAGTTATATATAATTTGTTTTATTATTTTTCAATAAAAGAGAGTAGTCTAAAATCAATAGAGGTAATATATTTATCTTCATCAATTCATTTCCAGACAAGTAGATTTTCAGCCTCTTAGTAAGTAACATGGTGGCAAAAACTAACATGAGGTAATCTCCCCATATTTTAAAACACTGTAGAACTGAGAGAAAGTAATAATATTTCAATAGAAAGTGTCATTGTTATGCCTATCTGAAGGTTGTGAGAAGTTCTAGCTTGGCAGTGTTTCTCCCTAATGTTCCAACAAAACCCCATGGTAGCATGCATCTAGTATCATACAACTGCCAATGAAAAAACATACTGTTTCCAAAAATCCCTCCTTTATAATGAGGTTTGCCCACTGAAATATAGACTTTAGTACAACAGGAGTGTGTGACAGCAGCAGCAAAGACATTACAGGAACACCAGGTTTATGGTGCAACAAGCACACAGACTCACAGGCTGCACTGCGGAGCATCGTGTCATCCAAACTTCAACACCAGCTCTTTTCATCCACCTCAGGAAAGGGTCCATGCTTTCTCTCTAGCTATGACCTTCCCGTGGGTATCTGTCAGCTCAGGAGGGTGTAACAGCCAATTCACCATGCCTGTAAATGTTGCTGCACCTTGTACCTTCACTGGTACAACCTCTTTGAGACAGCCAGACCAAAGACAGAATGAGGCCCAGGAGTATGATACCATTCTTCCCATTACTATAGTAGAGTTATGCCTTCAAAGACCAGCATGTAACCAGATAAATCAGTATGAACACACTTTCTACACAATAAAAATTTTCAAGACTATCAACTATCTCTGATTACTTTTGTATCGCCTACAGGATGGCTTAAGATGCAGCAAGATCCTTTGTATAAAATAAATTAATAAGTGTAAAAATTATCTCAAGATACATGAGGATATGAACACGTGAAATTCAATGAGACGTTGGTTTGCCTGTAGCACTGATGGAGAGGTAAGGACTCAAACTGCTATTATTTTTAATGGATGTTTAGAGCCCTTTTTGCCAAGACGAAAAACTGACTTTACTTAGACTACTTATATATAAGGAAATTCATAGATATGCAAGGCAGATGAGATTTCCAAAATTTGTGAAGAAAGGTAATGGTTTTGTCTTCTTAGAGTCGGTGGTGCTGGCTCAGGATAGACATAAAAATCTTTATTTCCATTTTAATGTTGAATTCCCACTTCCATACCACATGCATGTCCGAAACTGGTACATGGAAAAGCACCTATAACACTGCACTAATGGTGTCACATTTTGGTTATTTTATCTCAAAAGAGTTACAGATTCAAACCTGGCTGTTGCTCTGTAAACATACCATGGTTGGGGAGCTGAGCATGCAAGCAGGGCACGTTTGCTCACAAATTTATGATTTCACAAATTTTTAGCAGGCAAAGGGTCATTTACTGTCTTACCTGGCTATCACGACTCTTTCTCTGAATAACCTGAAACTGTTGATGGGCTATTAATATCAAATTCCTTCCCAGAGTTACATTTCTGAGGAAAGGCAATTTTTTAATGTCTCTTCCCTGAGCATACTACAAGTGTTAACTTTATAATCTGGACACCTAACTACTAGATTCCTAAGACAACCTTTCTTCTTGCTCTTGTAAAAATGCATTAACAGTTTAAATTTCCACACCTGGTGGAAATGTATCTATTATAAAAATAACAAGAAAGAAAATAAAAAGCTGTTTGATTTTTTTTTTTCAGATTATGCCTCCTTGATACTAAAGTTGCCTCATCTCTGGTTTAAGTGAGAAATACTTAGAAGCAATTCTAATTCATACCTGTTTGCTACCATGCCCATATGACTACATGCCAGTGGAAAATTAGCCAAGAGCAGATGTTATTTCCTCTGTCCTTTCTCCAGCATCCTTTCTCAACCTGTGAGTTCTGGGACATGCTGAAGGGGGAAACAAAAGATGACTGTGGCTGGTATGGAACCTGACTATAAAAGCTTCAAGGAAACTGAAAGCTTCCTCCTCTCGGGGAGAATTCTTACATCATCAGGCAGCATCAGGATGAGGAACAGAATCAATTACCTATTACTGAAGTACTACAGAGTATAGTTATTAGAACACTTAACTTAATAATTTAATTGTAAAGAAATTACTGTATCCAGTGTTCACTATTACTATAAACCAAATGAAAAGATCAGTGGCTTCCCAGCAAATGCAAAACACATCTTTTCATTCTAGGCACCCCACCATGACATTGCAAATCAAACTCAACAATTAACATCCAGCCCTTTGTGGCAGGTAGGGAAATATTCTAAGCAATATTATGTGGGAAGCAATTGTAGGAGTGAAGAACTTAATAATAAATAATACAATTATATTTGATGACAGATCTATACAGTTTCCATATGAATGACTTAATTAGTGGTGGCGCACACAAAGCTGCATAGCCACACCATCATCCTGCCTATTGTGCAGACATATAACTCTAGCATCACCTTAGATCCCAAATATACTCCAAATCCCAAGATTCATAATCATAATTTGCAGATACTTCCAGTGCAACGTTTTCAAGATGGTATTTTTCTTGACTCTTCCAAACAATCAGGTTAATCATCATTTTTGATCAGCGTTTTGATTCAGCAACATTTTTTCTCTCTGCCTTTGAGAGACACAGACTAATATTGCATGCATTCGCTCAGACAACTGCTGCAAAGACCCTTTTCCTAGTTGATCACTTAGAGAACACATAAGTCTCCACAGCTCTCCCTGGCTACTTCTGCAATATCTATTGTCTTCAGTCTCAAGGCCCATCCTTGCTTCTCACCATCACACCTATTGCTCCTTAATCACTGTCAGGAAGACAGTGTGGTTTGCTCCCATTTGAAGCTGGGACAATTTTCGTGAAACATAAAGCTTAAAAGACCATTAGATCATACCGTCTAATTTGATTTTTATTTTGTGTTTGGCTAACACATTTTCAAAACCCTCCACTTTTTACTGGTAAAAAAATAAAACTCAGAGATGTTTCTTGCATCACGAGTCCAGTTTCCAGCTCCTCTCTCACCCACACGTTGTAATTTCACACAAATTTCTTGTGCCTTTTTCTGTTTTATACCTTACACTTTATGGTAACTCCCTTAAATATTTGAAAACACATCGCATTGCTGTTGTTCAAAGCTTTCTCTGAAATTCAGCTTACTAACATGACCCTACAGCCCCTATGAGCAAAACGTGTGATAAGCAGTTATACACATATCACATATTTTTAAGTGTCTAAAGTAATCAAGGGTGAGATATAGGAGATGTATCCTACTATACAGTAAGTGGAGAGGCTCCTGTTGAGAGTGATTTGGTTGAAAGAACTCCTGAAACATTCCAAACTGTTCCCTGAAGGAGTCTCTGTATAAGCTGTGGAAATAGCCTAGGCAGATCAGTCTTTTGATTTAGGTATCTGAGTTGGATCTCTAAAGTATGACTGTTCCCCCTAACTACTAGCATTTCCCTTCTCATCTATATTTTATATGTTTTATTATTTTATTTATTAGTGTATATTTTCTATTTTCAACTGTATTATATTTACATTGCCAGCACTTAACATTGTAGATAATCTTTTCAGCCTTTGTGTGGTGCCTAAAATCATAAGAACTAATAATTTACAATTACACAAACCAATATTTTATTAAACAGTACCTGATCATATAATTATCACAAAATTACACACACACATACCTGGTAGATGATGCACAGCTATGTGCATCAACTTCAAGTTTGGTATTTCCTAAATTCCTCAATCCTATAACAAAGAGCTGGATTGTGTTCATGGCTGGCACCAGCTATTTTCTCCCCAGTGTGAATCATGGGCAAATCTTCAAGACAATTCAACACAGCAAACGAAGAGAAGGGAGAATCAGAGTGATGGGAAGGTATAGGGGGATCCAGGATACATACAGAATTTTTGGCAGAAAAAGCAGAGTGCAGGAAACAAACTATGGAAACCCTTGTCACGTGTATGACAGATGTCATAAGCTATTTTCTGAAATAATTGATGAGAAAGTGGTAAAATGTAGGACTGCTAAAAGCAAAAGTAAGAAATGGAAGGAATCCCTTCATATATGTGAAGAGTTCATGCCCCACAATGTACGCTTCTCCCTGTTAAACTCACTGAACTTGAAATCTACCCTATTAAAAAAGAGATTTCAGTAGGTCCCTAAACCCCCAAAATTATGAAGCAAAACCCACCGACATACCTTACATGCTAAGAAATTCTCAGGGTCTCCAAAAACATGCTTATTGCTGGGAAAAGGATAATAAAACATTATGAAGAAACAATGAACTTCAAGAAATCAGCTAAATAATCAAATAGGAGTCTCACACAAATTTAGAAATCTTATCCTAACGCAAATAATAAGCAAAAGCCATACCAGGCATCATGTAAAAAAGAAACAGAACAGAACAACTACTACTGATGATAATCTAGTTCTTGCTCCAGATCTAATGATCTAGATAACAGAAAAGTTCTTTCAAAGCCCAAAGTAGGAGAAGAATGCATCCTGAAGGAAGAAAACAAAAAAATGAGGACACACGCAATCATAGATCAAAACCTGACCAAAATCTAAACAGGGCAAAATATTGGATTAAATGATTGATTTCATTATAATAGATTTCTTTAATAGCAAATAGTTAACTACAAAGTGTATTAAAAAAATGTGTTTGGTCCTATGTTATGGTACAGTGGTAGGATTGCGTCTGTTTAATGGAAGTTGTTCATTAGGTCAGTTATGCCATAGTGGGAAAGTACACCAGCTGCTTTGGCCTCAGGAAGGAACCAGGGCCCACTTCAGCAGTTTAGTGAAAGTCTCTGCTCAACAGCACACTACAATCAAAATAATAATAATAAAACAGGCAGCTTAAACAATGGAAGAGAATTAGAAGAAAGCCAGTGTAATAGGATTATAAAAATCAATGCTCTGACCTTACCAGAAAAAGAAAAGCCCATATGAGGTACAGGTCACCCCTTCTCCAAAAGGGTACTACAAAACTGGATAGGGTTCAAATGTGGACAATAATAAACATGGAAAATTCCTAGGAAGAGAAATTAGGAAGTTTAAAATGTAGAGTCTTATGCATGGACACGTAAAATAATAATTGCTGTAAAGAGGTCAGATCAGACATTTCTAAGCTTGCTATCTTACAACACAAGAAAACAACACAAAGAAACATCCAAAGTATGGAAAATTCAAAACTGTAAGAAGAAGTGTTTTTTCACATCATCTGTAATCCATTCATATTGATTGTCAAGGAAATTCAGTTATTAATCTAAATACAATGTCATAACGATGAGAGTATATATCAAACTAGTTACTACATAAAGAAATCAGGAAGCAACTTATTTGGAGTTAATATCAACTGAAGCATTAGGATGTATTTACTAGTGAAACAGGAAACTGTATTATGGTTTAAACAAATATAGTAATCCCTGTGTAAAAATATCAATTAAAGAAAAAGAATAGCAACATGATTTCATTATTAAAATTTTATTCACATTACAGTAATGTTTCCTACAGTTTGCATTAAACGCTATAATAGTTCATTAACAACAGTATAGTCATAACTAGAAGATTTTGAAACAACTGAAGTTTGGACACATTAAGCTTTTATGTAAGCAATAAAGGCAAATACATGAAAAAATGAAAACCAGCACGACTATAAACTCATTTTCTCCTTCACTGCAGGTTCTACCTAAAATGCAATTTTCCCTGATTTACAATCACAGCCAGCTTCTTAGAAGTTTGTCTATTCTTCAAAGACATGACATTGAACAGTTTTCCATTTACCACTTTTTTAAAGAATTATTTTAACAAGCATTCTCATTACAGATCTTGCTAACAAGCGCCCAAAACGTGACTACTTACTGATCACCCACTAACAAGGTAGCTAGAATTAGCTTAAGCACTAAATCCTTAGTATGCCACCACTCTACTGCCTGGTTGTCTTGATTAGATCATCCTGGTTTAGTCTGAAACACATATTGTCACTGCCCTGTTGTATTAGCCATTAAAAAAACATACAGAAAATTATAATTTTTTCTCAAAGAGCAGTGAGTCCTAATTTTACTAGGATAGGCATGGTAAAAACGAAAGAGAGTGTAAGGATCTGGCTTCATATATTTTATTTGATTTTTCCCATTGTATCTGAGAAGGTGAAGAGAATACTATATTTTCTGAAGGTGGTGGAACAGGAGAGGCTGCCAGCAATGTCAACGGGAGGTTGGCACTTCCTAGGGCTAGGGCAGGTAAACAGGGCAGAAGTAAATGGCTAAAGCATCACGCAGTACAGTAGAAGGTATAAATGAAGACTCAAAATATCAATAATGTAGAGAATACAGAACCAGAAAGACTGGCTGGGAACTCTCTCTTGGACAGAGAGTATACAGCTTGTACTAAGACACAAGAAACAGAAATTTAAAGAGCTACATGAACTTCATGTGGTGATACTCAGATGTAGACATGGGTACTGGTTCTGGCAGAGAAGGGAATTTCAGTCAATGGGCAGCTATGAGTCTAAGAAGACCTTGCTGCCTGTAATGACAGAAAAACTGCCTGAAATAAAAGCAAGCTAACAGGTTGCACAAAGGCAACATAAAATTTCTGAAACCCAAAAGGCAACATACCTTTCCATCTACGTTCTGAATGCAGCAGATCATTCACCACCAGGATATTGGAACATAAAATTATTCTCCTTGTGTAACTTACTCTGTTTTGCTGTTTTCATAGACTGCATATTTGAGTGAATGAACTGTTATGTGGCAGATTTCCCTTTCAGTTGCATAGCTTTTGCCTGCGATCATTTTAATAACACGCTTTCTAAAATAAAAGGAACATTTTATTTTCTAAAGATATTATATGCTTGATACGACATTTTGAATGCACGTAACTTGAAATATACTTCACTGTACGTTTACCTGCAAAGTTACCCCATACTTTTTTTCCCCATTTTAAGTGAACAGTGGGTAATAGCAATAAACTAAATTCATGGGGGAGAAGGTGTAAACTAACTTCATTTAGGTGTGAAGGAATTTCTTGTTAAGGGCACTTCTTTGTTCACACCACCAGTATCAAAGCTATTTATTTGGTAATAAAAGTTTCTGGACTGAAACAGACATTTCTGAAGTTGTTGATGATTAATGTACAGTTTAACAGAGCCATTACTTTGTGACAGGCACTATAGAAGCCAAGTGTCGGATATACAAGCCAAGTATCAGCTTCTGCTCCACTTTAACTCAATGGTCAGAACTCTCATTTTTAACGTCTTGTTTTAAATATTATACTGTAGAGAGTTCAGCAGGAGACGCAGTAGTTGGAGTGAAAGTAGAATACCTGCCTTGTAGTGTTAATATCATGTAGGCATTAAACGGGATGTATTTTAATATTAGCCAAGGCACGTTTTCGAACACGAACACTTGCCACAATCCACTGTATAACCACTAAAGGACGATTTAAGTTTATGCTGCATACGCGCGGAAGAAAACTGACACGAAGCCAGCGTGGAGCGGGCGCGACGCCCGCCCCAGGCACCAGCTGGGCCGGCGGGCAAAGGTCCCTCGGCCGCGGCCCCGGCCCGGGCCCGGCCGGTTGCGGGCGGCTGCTGCTCCCCGGGGCCGCCGGGAGGGAAGGAGGGAGGGAAGAGGGAGGGAGGAAGAAGCTGCCGGGTCCTAATGCCGCCGAGCTCGGGCAGGAGCCTCCCGCCCGCTGCTGCCGCGGCCCCGGCGGGCCGGAGGCACCGAAGCGACGCCTTGACCATCGCCAGGGAGAGTTCTCTGGCCGCGCTGGCTCGATCAGTGATCTCATGGAGAACGCCCTGAACGCGCAAAACCTCCATGTGTTGGAGACTGGCAGAGCTGAGCACAGCCACGGGTGAAAACAGCACCCCAGGAGAAAAGCATTGAAGGATTCGACAGAAAAAGGAAGAGGTACCGGCAGCCTCTGACATCGATGCACTTCTGTGCTTGTAAGAAATCCTGATTTTGTTTCTCAAAACTCAGCGCCTAAACTTTGCCTTGGAGCTGCTCATCTTCATCACACAGTACAGGAACAGAAAAAAACGCTCTGAAACAGGTAGGAAAGTGAGAGAGCAGGACTAAAACTGCACATGCTGTAGCAGACACAAGCAAGATTCCAGGATCTCCCTAGCAAACCAAGAACGGCTCTTGACAAGCCAAAGACTCAGAACAGAGAAGACTGCAAGAAGTACAGTCTGCTGAGGCAGCTTTTACACTTGTGCACGTGGAATGTACCAGCATGTCTGCTTTCTGCCTTGCTCTTGCTACTTAGGTTTATTACAAGCAAATACAGCTATATTACAGGCAGAGATACCACCCTCTGCACCCACACTACATCCTTTCAAACACATCAGCCTGGCCAGAGAAGTAATTTCTGATGTATTTTCACTTTGCTACCTCCTTCCTCTCCTTGCCTATACTTCGACATCACTTGAAGATTAAACAGTAGGATTGTTACATCTTTATACATTTTATACCATTTTAGTGAGACGCTTAAGTGACCTGGGATGACTTGATCTCGAGTGCTAGAATTAGAAACAGGATTGAAATGGTTACTTTTATTACCTTCCAGTGCTTCCTGTGGAAATTGTGATTAATTTTGTTGATAGTTGTGTATAGTTTTTATTAATGTGCCTACAGTCTTAAAGCCTAAACCTGACAAGGGATGGGACAGAAAAGCTCCACATCAGTGAAAATAGTTAGGTGAGCAATCACAACCTCCTCCTGAAAATGAACAGGGACATAAACAGAAAAAGTCGCACCCATTGTACAGCCATGAGTAGTGTTAAGTGAAAAATTTGTATTAAAGAATAGTCTTCCCATGAATGTATCTGTTCATTGTGGCACAAACTTCTCCACTACATACCATGTATAGTAGAACAAGACCATTCTTTAAAAGCAAGAATACCTGACTTGTGATATGTTGTATCTATCCTGTCACAGCAATGTCTTACTCTTATCAAAACTATGGCTCTGTCACGTAGAGAACAAAAATTCTGCAGCCATGCACATATTTTCAATATATGAATCAATTCAAGCTTAGAGTTAATATTATATGACACATGAAAAACCCCCAACTGTCCTAATGATTCAAAACAATATCAGAAAAATTTTACTTCATGTACTTTTCAAAACTTTTCCTCTCATCTCACTGCTGTGAGTGTGCATCTCTTTTCCTATTACAGATACTAAAGAACCTTTTTGCAACATTCTAGTGTGAAGCTTCTCTGATGTAAGTGGTAATTTATCTGATGTTATCGATAGGTAAATCTGGTTTGTCTTTCACATAATTATAGAACAATGAAAAATTAAATTGGTAAGAAAGTCAAAATTCAAGGAGAGCTAAGATAACCATGGGTAAAATGGTTCAATCTAATACTAATTAGTGTTTTTACAATGTGGAGAGCACTAGATCTGTGCTATCGACTTCCTAAATAGAACAGTTTCTGAATCTGTCTAAATGCTTTAAAAATACACAGGTGGCAATGCAAATCAGCTACTTCTATAGTCTCTCCTCAAATAGTCCAGAAATGAATACACTGAAATTGTGCCACTTCACTAAAAAAAAATAAAAATCACTATTTTTCAGTTCCACTTTATGCTTACGTGACAGATGTATCTTACAAACTCAGCAAGTTGTGCAAAAAAGAGCAATCAGACATGGTAAAGCAGAGCTTTTTGAAAGAATGTATATTGACTAATTGCTAGCACACATGTCCAAAGTGCACAAAACTTCTCAAGGATTCAAATGGGCATAAGAGCATCTTCCACACTGGAATGTGTGATGGCATCAAGTTTCACTGTGGGCTGCAATAGTGAGGACATGCCTTGAGGCTGGCATATTCATTTAACATATGAGTCATTCAGTGTGGAAACAACATAAATATCCACAAACTAATGAATTGTGAAAGAACTATAACATTTTTCCCCTCAGGCTTGCACCTACTAAAGTGTCACAAATTAAGTCAATATCACAGAAATGATTCAGCAAAAGAGAAATTAAGCAGTAAACGGCAGTCAACTCTTTTACAAGTCAATCACTTAACTGTTTTTACTTGAAAGAATACCAGTCAGTAGTCATCTTAGAAAAGATCAACAGAAAAAGACACTCCAGACTTGACTTTTATAAATACTGCAACTAAGGTAAGATAACTCTATGACATGGAAGTTGCAACCTAGGTTTTCCTTCATTGATATCATCCTTCAGAATTTGCAGGATTTAAAATTAAGAAGATATAATTCCCTTTTCCCCCCCAGACGTTGGTTTAAAATGTAGAAAGATAAAATAACCAACCAAACACTTGCCATGCAATGAATCTGAGTGAAAGATTAGCCTGACACAAAAAAAAAAAAAAAAAAAAGGAAAAAAAAAGTTGTAAGCAGCCTAACTTCCTCATCCCAAGTTACTCTATTAGCCTAAAGAATTACAACAGTTTAAAAACCACTTATAAATACATAGAAACAGATATCTAAGCTTATATTCATATATCTAACATGCATATTTGTACAGTGCAGCTAAAGGAACCTAGTATGCCCTAAAATTACAGTTGCTGATTTGTGTTTTGCATTTTGGCACTGGAATGAGTAAACAGCACTTTGAGGGCCAGATTTTATCTCCCTCCCACCTAGAAAGTAAAAATGAAAAGCTCAGAGTTACAGAAAGGCATATTAAATAGAAGTCACTATTAGTCACTTTCCATACCCATCTAATTTCAAATAAGGAGACTGCTTACACTGATCTTTTCGGGTCTAACTTACGCACTTATATCAGACTTTTGGAGTCCGGCACAGACCTCTTAGAAGCTCACCCACCAGGCACTCCCCGTACTTCCTCTCCCAGTATCTTAGTGAGGATACTTTGTTTCAATTAACACCGCCTTAGGCACCTGTTATGATGCATGTCCATACTGTGCAACTGAGCACAGTGCGCCTGGACTCTGTCAGCTTAGCTGGTACTCTGCCCCCCACCGAGGATGCACTACTGTTTTCCTGCTCTCATCCTGTGCCCATGGGAAGTATCCGTGTTGGCACAAGGATGCATCTGAGCTGCTTATCCTTGCCTCTGAACAGGGCTAAGGCCTCTGACAGGCACGCACTGGACCGAATGCTGTTACCAGTCTCAGACATTAACCACCACCCCTCTGACCAACACACTCTATCCGATTAATGCCTAATCTGCTTGCGAATCAACTCCTGAGCCACCATAGCTTTCTGCATGGCATGAGAAAATTAAAGAGTTCTTAAAGTTTGCCAAAACCCCAATGTCACTGGCAGTAGCACTCTGCTGGAACAGCTATATCAGATATGAAACTAGTTCATCAGAAGAGCACCCAGTGTCTGTGCTGCTCATTACTACATAGCATATACATATCCAGCACCTCAAAATACCTTTACAAAGAAGCTTTAAGAACTGCCAGCTGCTACCAGATCAGTTCCACTGCAATATCAACCACCAGTGGGATTCAAAGAGTAGGAAGAAAAAGAGGCACAAATTCTTTGTGGATTTCAAAAAGTCAATATATACACAGGTATGAATATACTTGGCTCTGGTGAAAACAAGAATTTTCCTGTAAAGAATTGTTGGTTTAAGTTATTTCAAATACTAAATTAAAGGGAATCACTTCTATTACAGTACAGTTACAGTAGCACTTTCACTGGTGTTTCTATTTGTGTTTTCTATTTGTGTACATTACTTAAACACTGTGAAACTTCCAATGAAGTAGTATTAGTACAGTAATTTAGCATGCTCCCATTATATGTTTTTTAACCTATATGAGGATTAAAAGTTTCCACCTATGATTAGTTTGTCAATAATTACGTGTTTCATATCTCCTGCAAAATTGGATGCAATGCCTGTTAGAACAGTTACATGTGTAGTGGTGAAATATGCCACCAGGGGTTAGTTATAACATACTCTAAGTGAAAAAAGAAAAAGCTGGGGGTTTTAAAATAACAGTTCAAAAATATTCAGTTCTAAATATTCAGAGACACAGGCTCACAAACAGTGAGCCATAAATGGCCACTAACTGCGTCTCTAAAATAACTTACTTTTCTAAAAAGATACTTTCACTGTTTTTATATGCAAGAAGTCACTGCTAAGTAAAGTTGTTGTACACTGCTTCAGAATTTAAAATACTGCATGATATAGAGCAATCCTTCTACTTTTCACATTTTAGAACAAAAATTCATCACACAAATCTTCAGAGATACACAAACACATTTTACTGAGAATTATCGAGTAGTGTTTAATAAATTACATGCAAATTCTTACCAGAATGCCACTGCTTTTGAAGATGCTGTGTCCATTGTTATCCTCATGATATCCATTCATATTCATCATCAGTACCCTTCTTGCTTCGCACTCTAGCTTTGGAACGGATTTCTGACAAGCAACCCACACCTACCAAAATGGTTTCTAGAAAGCAAATTATATAGCTGTAAGACATGCAAAACCAAACAGCAATTTGCAAACCACTGCAAGTGCAATGCAAACATAGTCAATATAAAATTAATTCTGAAATGTTCATCATATTATGCTGGACACTAACATAACCACAGTTGTAACATTATACTTTTATATCACCAGTTCACCTATAGAAAAACTGCAAGAGCAAAATTCCTTTTACCCCATGAAATCTCATAAACCTCATCTCATTAAGGGTGGTCATTTGCCTATAAATTATTTTAATAAAAGAGCAGAATAAAGGAACATTATTCCTCATCATTGTTAAGGTCCTCTAAGGACTAATGAAAATTGAAGTTTCATTATGCTGGATAGTGTATATACACAGAACAGCAAAAGGTCCCTGAGCATATTAAAAACAACAGTCCAAACAGGGAAAAGTTCACACAGAGCACAAACAGCAGCACCATAGTAAATATAACAGTAGTTCTACTCTGTCAGTGGCTTTTGCTTGCAAACAAAATAGGAGATACAGGGTAAGGTGGGCAGATTGGGTGAGGGGAAGCATACATAGTAAGCAGGAATGAAGCGGAAGTAAAGAGGTAGAACGGACAGCAAGAGGGTGGAAGAAACAGTCAATAAGCATAGGACAGACAGCACCTAATTAAAGCTAGTGAATGTTCTCTGAATGATCAAAGGTCCCTGCGCTTTTGGCTCTTTCTGTTCCTGTGAGTTAGTCTCTGACAAGGTCCTTTCTTTACTGCTCCCAGGCTTAGAGCAGAGGGTTATACTGATTTTCAGACTTTTCCCCATCACAATCCCCTCCCCACCTTTCGACATGGGATCAAAGATCTTTCCTGTAGCTTTAAAAAAGAGATTATCTGAATCTGCTCAAGAATATCTTTATAGAACAAGTACATGAAGAACGGCCTTATTCACATGTGGTCCGAGTTCTGATATTCTGACTTCAAGCTTTCTAATTCTTTCTTAGGTAACACATGCTGGACAAGATTCATTTACACAGCAGGAAAGTGAGGCAAGACACTGATCTGTAAAACAGCAATTGAAAGTTGATAGGAGTACGTAAAACATTGTGTTCCACACTGAGTAACAGAGAGTTTTTAGGATTTGGGTTGGGGACAGCTGCTCCACAGAATCTGGTGCACGCAGCCAGACGAAAATATTCTAACCTTCACAGTAAACTGTGCTTGTTCTAGTATTAATTGAACAGATTAGGCTTATATCAGAAAGGAAGATGCAGTATTTTCATTGTCAAAACACTCACCGTTTATATCCTCTAGCGTAAATGGAGATAAGTCAGTGTAAAGAGCAAGTTTGCCCACAAAGGCAAATCAAGTCTACGAAACTGAAGTGGTGTAAATTTTTATGGGGTTGTATGGATAAGGGCAAATAAACTAGAACGAAGTCACTTTCATCTGGTATAAGGTCTCCAGTACAAATAGTTTATACAGGCATAGCAACTGCAACATAATTAAAAACAATTTCTGGAATTGGGCCAGCTCTCCTAGGTTGTTTCCTTCTATGCGGAAATATGCTACCAGTATATACAGTTTTATACTGATACAGCTCTATTCATACTACAGCGAAAGGCGGCTGATACTTTAATTATGCCGGTACAGATAAAGTAGAAAAATGTCTGATAGAGAACTTAGTGTCTCACGTATAGTCCTTTTACCTCTTGCAAGATAGCAACAATATTCCTAGCGCAGACGAAGCTTTGGAGTACTAATTCTTAACTTAAAAAATAATCCCTCCTGTGTAATTCCCAGAACATCACCAACCTTTGAAATGTTAATGGAATTACTAGAGACAAATCAGACTTTGAATTTCTGCCAGATTCAGGAGTTCAGCTGACAAGTTTTCTGTGTGCCACTCAGGTGTCACCATTCTTTTCATAATCTTTTTTTTTTTTTGTAAATGAACTGGGTTTTTTCAGCAACAATACTGTGGTAATTTTGAATCTTTGTAAAAACACTGGTAAAAGCAAAGTGTGTGTTTTGGCTTGAAAAATACACATAAAAGCAATTACTCGTCCTCTGCCAGAGGAAATTACCTGCTTTGGAAATTACCTCTGACTTGCCAATGACAATAACAGGCAAGTAGTTATCCAGCAAAATCCCTTTAGTTCAGCTGCACAATATTACTTCCACCAACATCTATACTTTATTTGGTTGTTTGAAACAGCATCAGCGAATTCAGGCTGTGCTGCTAAAAACAAGTCATCTTTTTTGCTTCTAAAGGAACAAACTTCTCCAAGTATTCCTTAAATGAGAAAAAAGAAACGAAAAAAAAATGTTTTAACAAGTGTGTTCTCCTTGGGACACTATGAATGGTAACTCCCAGACAACTGAGCTGAGGCACCAGAATCACCTGATAGAACAAGAATGCATTTTCCTCCTTACTTATGACTTGTTTTATAATAGCTTCCAAACCAGACTCAAGATAAATGCATACATGCATTGTTTTTGTCTCCCTATCTCCATCTCCCCTGAAAATAAGATCCCTGCTCTTAGGAATCTTTAACTGAAACTCTCACTTTCCTATCAAAAGTGAACTGTATTGACCATAACCTAGCTAGCATATAGAATGTATTGGTAGGTAATTAGTTATTAAAAAAAAATAACTTTTTTTTTTATAGCTTAAACTTGGGCTCATCTCACAGATGGATCTGTGTTGCAAATTGAGGTTACTTTAAAGTTCGTGGTTTTTTGTCTGCTAGTTGCTCAATCTCAGTAAGAACAAAAAAAAAAAAGGAAAATAAAAATCAACAATATAATACTTATAATAGTAGCATCCTGTCATAAATTAATAGGAAGGACGTACTTATATAGAAAATCTCGTTAAATAAACATGATATCTCTCTTTAGAAAAATTATCACTTTAAAGACCCGCCAATAAATGTAGTCCATTACATACAGAAATTGGAATTTCTCAATGGTATGAAATTCTGTAACAAATTAATCTAAAATACTTGTTACATACAGAAAGCATTGTGAAGAATGCAATACTGTAAGTTATTACTTCTAAATCAACTTCACTGCTCTTTTTGACCCATGAAGAATTTTCTAACGTTGGAATGGGATAGAATAGGATAGAAATTTAAAAATTTCCATCGGGGGAAAGCTGAGGAAAACTGTGCTTTTTCCTGGAGATTCCAAACATTTCCCCCCCCACCCCCAGATCTCTCAGCCAAGATCCTTTTTCCAAATCTTCAGAGGTCCTCTTTTTGTTGTTACTAAGGTGAGATTAATCTTGGATATGTATTCTGCTGAATAAAACATGCTTAGGAAATTCACTCCACATAGCACTTGCCTCTGGCCCTGTATTGTGCCCCAGGAGGTATAAGTATTTATTCATTACCCTTTATGTGTGAAGCAGATAAACAAGGTGGGAGGGTGGGAACATATACGACTGATGTCTCCAGGACTAAATGATACAGTAGGATGTTAGTCCACAGCAAGTTGCAATGAAAGACAGTGTCTCTAAAAATGGAGTAGAGAAAAAAAACAGTTGCAGAAACAGGTAAGACTCTGAAGTAAACACTCTCACATGGTGTTTGGAAGCAGAAGGCTCTGCCAAAACAGACATTGCTTAAAGAATCATCATCATCTTCACCAATGAGCTAGAGAGTAAATCAGTTCTGGAAGTAGTCATGAAAACAACAGGTAGATATGAGCAAAAAGGTAAGTCTCCAACCAGAGTCTTTAACTTAACCAAAGCAGAGGGCACTTCACCCATCTGCAAGGTGAAATACTTAGTCCCTTAATTTAAGACTGGCTTAAAATGAACCACTGTCCTTTCGAAGCATCTGAGTCTCAAAGCCAGGTCTCTAAATGACTGCTGTATTCACAGTGCTGCAGAAACTGAAATTCAAGTCACTGACTATCCCTCTCTGATGTACAGATTTGGACTCTCCATTTGATAACAAGGACAGTATTTGTATCCTTTAAGATGGTATTCCATAACACACATAATAACTTATTCCACAGTATGATAATGAAGCTAATCTTCCAGGCACTACACAAGCTACATCACCTCTTCTTGGTGAGCATGCCAGGAATGAGATATCCTGTCTTGGAGGACCCTGGAACTCCCATAGCTGTATTGCAGACAAGGAAAAGGAGTCTCCTCCTTCACAAATGTAACCAACCAGCTCAATATAACAACACTAAAATAGTGGGATCGAAGAGGACAATATTTAAGCTGGATATTGATGACCAGGATAACAAATTTCTGGGCCTGCTCTCAAAAGAATGTCATGATGCTGGGAACCAAAACCAGCATAGCATGTTGGGTGCTGCCAACAGTCCTGTCATTGTTGTTAAGCCCTAAGGTAACCTATACATCAGCTTGCACAGCCAATGAGTCCTCTCTCAGACATTCTTGGAACACAAGTCCCAAGAACAAGTTAAGATACGTCTTTCTCAGGGGGCAGGAAGCTAATTGTGTTTCAAGGAGGAATGGAATGGAACTATTTATTCCATAAAACTAATCCATCAATGTGTTAGCCACAAAGAGAGGTCTGAGCTTATATATTGCACAGATACTTCTATTTTAAAGTGCTAATGGTGTATACTTACCTACGGTGATAGGAACTGTCTCTTAAAATATGTCACTTCTCTAAGATTGAATGTGCTGTCTGCTATGTGAGGTTTTTTTTAATTATAAAAAACATTTAAGTAACTGTTGCTCAGATTTTCTATAACTTTACAAATTCAAGAGGTGCAGAAATTTGCCCCCAATCCTTTAGTATCTCCCACAGCAAGAATGACAAGGATTACTGATTTCTATAGAGTGGAAAAAAAAACCACCTGTATTTTTCATCACCATGAACATGCAACTTATTACAAGCACGTGATACTTCCTCCATTTAAATAGAAAGCTACTATAAAACCACTAGTATTTTAATAGTTTTGTTTAACCAATTGCTTGGCAGGAACAGTTGCTTACTTTCTTAAACCAGATGATCTACTTCAGATGCACTTGTTTCTCTCACATTCTATATTGCCTATAGAACTGAACATAGGAAATCCAAAATCTATCTCATTGATGTTAATGGCTTATTGAAGTTAAATGTCTAAAAAGGTAATACATGTATTTCTTTGATTTGTTGTAATCTTTTATCTTAAAATACTCTCCATTTTTATTCTTGACCTTGATCTCAAAATTTTGATCTTTTATAGTATCTTTCTGATTTTGAAGAAGGCAAGGAAGTAAGTCTATAGTTGAAACTGGGTAAGTCTTAAAAACAAATCCCCAAATCTTTAATGTTTTCTCTTTGAAACACGATCACAAAGAAGAACTTTTTGGTTTTAACTAGGAAAATTTATTGCTCTTTCTCTAACAATTACAGAACAGTTTTCCACATTTTCCTCCTCCCCCAAAAACAGAGTGTGAAGGAGGACCCCGGATGATTAACTAGGACAAGTCACTGGAGACGGCCATAACAGTTCCTGTTGCCATTGTTCCTCTCCATGTTTCCTGTCTCTGTTACTGAGGTAGCAGTACCTGCTACGCCACTGTACTTTGCAAGTTCCGGGTGACCTTAAAGCTCTAGGTTACAAACTATACTGAGCTGTCACAACACAAACCACTGAGCTAGCCTGTCCCTGTACCTGGAGAAAGTAGGGACCGGCTAGAGCAGGAAACAAACCAAATTAATCCCATGATCTGAACAGAACCCCTAACACTTACTCTCCAATATAAAAGCTGTTACTTCTAAATTATACACACATTACCAAAAGACTGGGAACTCTGTCTTTACAAAATGGAAACTGTAGTAGTTAAACTAGCTACACACTCATAGCTACATGTTGGAAACAAAATAAAAATGTGGTTGGAATTAGCACTAGACATTCATGTTCTGTGTCAGTATAGAAGTACTATTTGGGAACAGTAGTGCTGAAATGTTAGATAACTATATAATGCTCAAACTGCAATTAACAAATCCTCTCACAAATAGAGGGACATCTATTTTAAACTGAATGTTAAATGGAAAGTATTTATAACTTAAGTTGCACCCTTTGTTATTTAATTATCATAACTTTGAAAAGAAGAAACCTTTCATTTCCTCCTCCAAAGAAGTTATTTACCTGAACTGTAGCTCGGAAGTCCCTAGTAGTCTCTTCCTAGATTCTCATCCCACTGAATGTCAAAGACTTAGCATTTCAAGGATGGGATTTCAACATCAGTTATTGACAACTTAACTTGGTCTCACTAAAGATAAACCAACCTTTATTCCCACTCAGGTCAGCTCATTGATTTCACAGAAAACACATCTAGAAAGCAGAGCTGAATACTTTCAGAAATTCCACCCATCAGATAAAAAAGGCAAAAAACAACCAGTAAACAGAAGTTAATATAAAATATTTAAGACTTTTTGATGTATGATAAATCAAGTATTTTTGTGTATTTGCGTACATTACAAGTAACCGAAACTACTGTTAACAGCTTGCTGAAATAATATAATCTCAGACACTTTACCTTCTTACTCTTCAGGTACAGGAATCCTGATCTATGAAGAAAACCCAGTTTTGTCCAGGTATCAGAGGTGAAACAATAACAGTTCTGCTGAAAGAGCTAAAAAAACCCAACACCCTTGCTGCTCTCAATATCCGTATTACAGACATTGTAAGCATTATTATAAATAACACTGAACTTGGTTTCTGTTTTGCTCTTGTCCTACTTTGGGTTCTGTGGAATGGTGTTCAATAAAACTTTGACTTCATGTACAGCCAGAACCCCTTCTCACCAACAGGAAAGCCTAATAAGCTTCAGAATATATATTGTTGTTCAACTACATTAAAAATAAAGTCAAAGCCCTAAGTTTTTATAACTCTGTAGCATTTATAAAAAAGCATTTTAAAATCGTACCTTGTGGGCACTATTCATTGCATTCATATTGTAAAATAAGACCAGAAAATTTAAGTATTATCTCCAGAATGAATTCAGTTTTGTGAATTCTGTGGTTTGTGTTTTATTGAAATGCATTTCAACTTTTAGAAGTTCACTGAAGCAAAAGCCTCCTTTTCATTACTGTTGTTCCTGTTTGGAGTACGCTAACAGTTCAAAAGCTTTTCTTAACTAGTTTCTGATTTTTAATTATCCACTACATTTATAAAGCATATCTTTGTGTTTTCTTTAAGCATAAGGGGACTAAACTAAAGGCTTACACTAAAGAAGTGATGCTCCTTCCATGTCACTGAAGTTCTTAGCATCAGGAAGGAGGCACTGATAAGAAGTTAAGTATGTGCACAAAAACATACAGAGCAGGAGCCTTAGTTTCTAGACCCCAAAGATATCATAGTATTAAATTTGAAAAATCAAGTACTCTTAATTCTGTAGGATTTTCAGCAAGACAAATGGTATTGTTAAGGCTTCTGAGATCATATATGTGTCTACGAAGATGCAAGTGATCCAGTAATTTAGTAACAAGGTAGACAGGTATCATGAAAAGATTCTATATTTGTGCACCATTGAAAACAGTGATGAACTGTACCCTGCCATTCTGATATGAAGCATTTGTTTGTTTGGCTTTTTTCCAAATTATCACTTGTTTGGCTATTGGTTAAAATACCAAACTCATAGTGAGTTCTCTTGGTGAGAGAATCCTCATCTTTTTTGTGTGAGAGAACACAAAAAAAACCCAAATTCAAGTACCTGTTTAAATATTCACAAGTATTCTATTAATCTACTTCTAATATTTCTTATTGAATGTACATTGCATAGAATTGCCATGCAGAACATGACTGTAAACAAATTTCTGCTGTGAAGTAATTAATGTTATAAAAATAACTGGCTCTCTTGAAAAAAAATAAATACGATGTACTATAACCATTTGTCTAAAATTAAATTCTGATCCAATGTTACAATGTCAGGATTTAAGGATCTATTTTAGGAAAAAAAAATTTCCTGGCACAAAATTCAAAAGCTGATTTTTTTAAATAGAAAAATTTCCAGGTTGTGAAAACCTGTCTGTGACTTCCTTCTTACTTCCTCTGAATGATTTGAGACCTAATAACTAACATTTAGATCCAACAACTCCTGGCTTAGCAAAATACTGAATTCATATAATAAACACATAAGAAAATTATGAAAAAGCTTTCAGCAAAAGGGAATTGTGTCATTAAGATCATCACATTCTCCATCAACAGCTACTCCAGAGATAATAAGTGGTGCTAAAATTATTTTCCAGACAAAAATTTCCCTCCATGCATCTCATAAGTACGTGTGCTACTGCATATGCCTTTCCATTTCAAGATACTTCACGTGTCAAATGACCAACACAAAGGGTCTGACAGGACACTGCATATATGCTAATTTGAATGAAATGCCAGCATACCAAACCCAAATAAGGATAATTTAAGAAAACTTACCTGAACTTGAGGAAGCACCTCTTAGCTGTATCGGTGCTAATTCCCAAATGAAGACTCTTCCTTGCAAATAAGTGAGCTTTCTTCAGATCATTATTCTGTGGCACAGGCTCCTCCAAATGGCAGAATGAATGTATTGCCATTATTGAAAATTTACAGATAATCTGAAGAAATTGAACTGAAAGCAAGAAATACAGCAGCTTTATTTTCTGTAAACTTACTGAAAATAATTTAATTAGTTTTCAAGAACTTGTTGATTATCAATAGCATTTAAAACCACATGAAGTGTACGTATATGCAGTGACTGATGAAATATAAAGGAATTAAGGAAACCAGATGGACCATTCATCTGAGCAGGAATACCCAGATAAAGAACTTCCATTTAATGCTACTGCAGAGCACCATTTCAATAAATTTTAGGTCTGTCTCTTATACATTATATACTTCTTCTCTGCAAAGAAGTTTTCATAAGGGTATCTATAATGATACATGTAATTTTGCAGAATGTTTAGTTGTAATATAGAATTATATTACAAGTAGTTCAAGTTATTCCTTTCAGTTTTAATTATTTTATAACTACAAATACTGAATGACATCTATCAGTGTTATGCTTATATAGCCAGCTTTAGAAGGCTGCCCTCAAGTTCCTCACAACTTTCTCCCGTTTTACAGAATGTATGCAGCATTTTACTTTGGATGCTTATTTGAGGACAAGATGAATCACATCTAGGACAGATTTTAGAGGCATAATTGGATGAGCATCTATTCTGGTAAAATGCCAGTTCAAACAGAGATGATCCTCATGGTGTTTGTTCTCGCCCTTGTGCCATGACCACATTTGTGTGGATGTATCTGCTGGTGGAGCCACACGCTGCACCGTATTGAGGAACTGACTTGAGTTAAAAATTGCTGCTTGCCATAGACTCCTCAGGATCAATATTCTGGCTCAAGTCACTGCATGACAGCACAAGTGACTGTGGTAATACAATTGGAGGGAAAGGGAGCAAACAACACCACATAGCTAATTGCAGCCACAAACGCCAGTGCTTGTAGGGCCACACCAAAACTGCTTGGGTTACAGTTTCCTGCCAGAGGCCATACGCTGCCACTTTAAGGTGGGACGAGCTACATGCGGTGCGTGAGTGTATGGATACATGGGTGCAGCTATGTCTCTTCCACTAACAACAGAAGCAACTTAGATCATCGTTTAGATTGCTAATCACAGAAGAGATTTCTGCTGTTTAACATGTCTGCTTAAGTTAGGTCGGACCTTTTCTAACTTTTGAATCCACCATCTGATCTCAAAGTTTGTCAAAGACAAAAGTTGAAAAGTCATTTACATTTTAATAAGAATTCAGAATTCCAAGTACTGGGCAGGTGGACAGAGAAGACCAACACAGAAACTGACCAAACTGAAGTACAGACTGGAGCATATGCCCACGCTCTTAGGGAACAAGTACCTAGATAAGAGACACACCTTACAACTACCCCAGCTGCAGCTGGTATTTTTCATTCCCTCTAAGATACAACTACATGGGAAGCTAGTGGGTGTTGGATCTTGTGCTCACAGAACTACTTGATTATCCATGCAGAATTCAAACCTACTTAAGTGGCATTAAAATAAGAGTCCTTGGTCTGCAAATTGCAGCTCTGCTCCTTGTGCTCAGTTTAAAAGTACATTATGTGCAACACTTGATAGCTTCTGGTCCTCTGGCACAGTATCTCATCCTAATGAGATGCATTCTTCTTAGCAGATCAGCCACTTCATCCTTTAAAATGACTAAATGAATGAACAGCATCAAGTCCTTATGACCTAGGAGTCTTCAGCACTTTATTCTAGCATTTAGTCTTCTGATTCTCTAATCCCATAATCACATAACTTCCCATCAATATTATTTGAAAAGAATAAAATGTATATGACATCTCTGTGGTGAAGAGTAGTATAAAGAAATAACTCCACTTCTTCCTAGCACCTCTTATTCCTTTTAATTGTTTTCTCTACTCCCTGAGAGTCCAAGAGACACGTCAAGTCCTTCAAACAATACTTGCAATGTTACCATCCTCCTTGTATTTTTAAATAAAAGCATACAACCAAACGTTTCCCTGAAATACACTGCTACCAATAAGACATGACAACTATATCCTGTTACTGACATTAATTTACGTATTTGGAAGGTTTAAAATGTTACATAAAAACATTTCTGATGACATGCATGTGAATGTGATTGGCCCTTTACTAGCCTATATCCAAGCAGTAATTTTGAGATTTCCTCTCTTATCACCAATTTCTCACTTAAAAGTAAATACTTAACAACACTAAAGGAGAACAGTTAAAGAGGTATCAATGGAAACAAATTTTATCCAAAAACAGGAAGGAAATTCATATGAATTCCCTGCACATGAGAAGGATCATACTATTGTTAATCAAAATACAACTTCTTAAATAAAAATACTGTCCATTTTAATATTCAATTAACATTTACTGTTTATTAAACTCAACCAGTTGTATCTCAACATCTATGTATATTCAGAATCTACACAGTATACTCTAACAGTGGTGGAGTTTGTTGGGTATTTTTTGGGGTGGTGGTGGGTTAGGAATTTTTTTTTTTTTTAATATAAGAATGCCCTTTCACACTCAGAGTACTTGCTTTGGAAAGTTTGGAAAGGCCTCAAGACTTTCTTAGGCTGCTAACCTGCAGTGATAGCTTTGTTACTGTACTGTTGTCACTAGTGGTACCTGAATTAGGCAAAATAAGTTTAAGCCCATTCATACAGTTCAACTGCACATAAAGCATCATTTTCAGGCACTCTGGACTAGTTCCAGTACTGGAACCAAGTCAACTGTATGCTAGGAAGGAATAGCTGTACAAGGAACTCAAACTGACATAAAACTGTATACAAGGAATTTGAAGAAATATACAAGAAGGCATGGGTCTATTTCTTACTGTTTTAAATCTTAAACTTGGGTGAAATTTGCAACTCCATGCTAGAACATTATGCAATAGGTAAAATAATGGCAATGATTTGCTAGAGGTTAGCTTATTCAGCTAATTTTTTTTTACAAATAAAATACCTATTTGCATAATACAAGTGTGATAATCCAAAAAATCATTCCAGTTGGAACGGACCCCAGAGGTCATCTAGTTCAACCTCCTGCTCAAAGCAGCATTAATATGTGAATACTCATTAATGATACAAGTTGTACTCCTAACCTTGCAGACCACTAATCGCATGTAATCCTTAATCAAATGCACTCGACTGCCTTTGACAGCATTACTTATCTGCAGAAGGGTTTGTGGGACCAGTTACTTGTCATACATTATTCCTAAGCATGGAACATTATAGGACTTCCTAGCTACACCCGTAACACCAGCACCATGCCTCCATTTAATTTTAAATGTCTTTTAAGCAGGTACTGTTGTAAGAGCAATTTTCAAAGGGGGCCTTGCCAGTACAGGGGTAGATTTTGATAGATGAGAAAAGGATGGAGTGAAGTAAGTGGTAAAACACCACTAAGTGAGGCAGAAGCACAGAGCCAGGTCCTGTTTTCAGGTGTGTTTCACAGGTTGGTGAATGCAGAATAGAGGTCCTGCTCTGAGAGATACCTATAAAACCAGAGAAATCAACATCACTGGCAGCAACAGTCCTGTAGTTATCAACGTCAGTGACCAAACTTCAGCAGACTAAGTTTGGGAACCTCTACTTTAGTCCTGCCATTTTGTTTTGTTCCTCCAGTTTTGCTCTGATAAGGACCTCCATTTTTCATTTCTGTTTAAGTTTACACCTTTGTTTCATGCATGAAGAACTGATTTAATATGGTACAGCATTACTAATTAAAAAAAAAAAAAACAAACTCACAAAAATCCACAGGTAAAAAAAAAAATTGAAAAGTTTTATAAAACCATGATTAGCCAATCACACAAGCTGAATTACAAAATAAGTTTGCCTTATATTAGCTCAGTATTGTCCTCTGTGGTGAAGCAAGAAATACAGTAACATTTTATCTATGCTGTATGGCAATATATGAACTCTGCCACATAAATTAAACAGAGAAAAACCCTTATTTTCTAAAAAATTATTTTATTTAAATATTTATTACCTACTATTGTAAGTAACTGCAAATATTAATATTTTGCACACTTTATTGTAAATCATTTAAATACTATTTAAGTGGTAAAAATAACAACAAGAAATAAACAGCACAAGGTTATATAGAAAAAAAGAAATTTACTTTACTAGCTTTGATAAGCCTGGTCTTAGGCCTACCAGAAAGGCATTTTAAAACACGAGGCTCTGGAATTTTTTAAATACACTGAAAACCTTTTCAGTTCTACAGTTCCAGACATTATTTACATGTCTTCTCCAAGCATTCATTTACAGTCACTGCTGTATGCTAGGTTGCATAGGGCCTCTCCCTATTTGACCTAATATACCAGTTCTTAAAGTACATGGTACTTCAACAATTTTCTCTTAACTATATACAAAAAGAGTTAAATTTAGACCTCTCAACAAACTTGAGTATAAGTGGCAGAAATAAGTTCATGTGATGGTGCACATGCATCAACCACAGGACCATGAAAGAAAGGGACATGGTTGAAAGACGCAGGTATGAATCAGCAAGAGATGGGAATCAAGCAAGCAATTCTAAACCCATAAATGAGAGATCAGGTGGATCCCCAAACTGATAGGCCATCTTCACCAGCAAATTTCTACTTTAGGTAGAAATTTATTTTATACTTGTATCAAGAACCTTTAATATTTTGTCTGATTAATGAAGCTGAATGTGTACTATTCTACTAAATATTTAAGTTCCCTTTTAACACTAAACTATATTGCTTTAGTATTTTAGACAGTAAAATTTTCTTAGAGAATAGTTGTTTGTGGCAAAACTAACTGCATTTCCATGTTTTCAACTTTTTATAGGAGTATAGTATTTGGCATTCTAGTTGAGGCAGGAAATTCAATACCTGACTACCAAGGAACAAGTCACTGCATTGGCACCTTGTCTGAGGGAAGAGAAACAAATTGCAAGGAGATGTTCTCATGACATCCTATCAAGACAGATGTGTCCACACCTTGCTAGGCACTGTTGCCATATAAAAAGTAGATGATTGGTTTTGAGTTTTGGCTGAGGTGTGAAACTACTTTACTGACAACTTTCAATAGAAAACAAGTAAAAAAGAAAAGCAAAAAAAAAGAGAGAAAGAAAGAATTGTTAGTGGCAATTATATTGCATTGTTTACAGAAAATGACATCAGCACAAAAGTTCTGCATTAGCACACCACAGGTTATATGAAAATTGCCAGTGTGGCTAGTTAATAACATTTCTGATATAAGGAAAAAGCACTATGAGACCGAAAAGGAAAATTACAGCCATTCCCTTCTGTTTTAAAGGCAGAGGTAGAAACGATGCTTTATGTAGAATAATTACTGAACATTACAATAGCTTTGAAATATATTATCTCTAATTTTAAAGTATAAAAGAAGTTCGAGAGATTGAGAGGGAAGAGGACAATTAGATGTATTTAACAGGCCAATAACCTGCAACACCTGAGAATAAGAGGGGTGATAAATTTGCATCAGCAAACAAGAAGTTAGTAATATCTGGTTTCAGCTAGAGGTTGAACTATTGATATGTCAGGCGCTAGGGAAAAAAATGTAATAGTTTTTTTGTTACCACCATCATTGCCCCATTTACTTCCCACATCCCTCACCAACGCAGGATCCAAGAATTACAGCAAAATGCTCTAAAAATACTTTGAGGATTTTTAAAAATCTTTTATTCAGAGAAGGATAGTGGTCGCCAGGCCCAAAATACTTGCTTTTTGAGGGTGTAGAACCACATGTATTCTTACAGCAATTAGCGCAACAAAACTCAATCATGATGTGGTATTTCAGCACTACAAAATAAAATCTGTCATATAAAAATAATATATAATATAAAAATATAAACCCATCTATGTTCTACTTCATAAATATAAATTATTTTCTTTCATTATCCCTAACTAAAAAATTTATTCATATTATCAGATTTACTAGCTGTTTCACAAATACATTAACAAATACATTCACAAACATATTAACATCAAGCGTGATACTACATTTTTCAGACATTAAAAAACCCCATCAAAGGATAATTTAGAAACAGGAAAGATTTTGCGAAGGCTTTAAGTTCACACAGAATTAGTCCCACCAAGTTTAACAAACTATTTAGACTCATGCAATCCTGTGAAAAATCAGGTAAGTATGCAATATACTGGCAATTCAAGAAAGAGGAGATAGGACAGGTATTTTTAAACTCTTTAGAATAAGCATTAGCATTTCTTTGCCTTTACACAGCACTTACTAGAAAGAGATGCCAGAAACTGGAGCCTCTGGTCATGTATAATGTCAGTGGCTACAACTGTACTGGCATCCTCACACAGGACAGACGTTTCCCCAAATGGGACTGCAGAAAGCAAAAAAATGCAAGACTAAATAAGAAAAGAACCATAAGACAATAGAGATAAAATTTAGCTCAAGTGCTGTAAGTTTCAGAGGGAGAAGTCTCTAACTGGTAGGTAACAATATAAGCTTAACTAGGTAGGAATGGATAATGTCATTTTAAAACTTTATAAAATGTATCATTGCTCCTTCTTCTTACTCAGTATGGATCGACATCTTGCCAACTTAGAATCAGTTTGCTTGAAGAGACCCCTTCCTTTTGTACTGTACTAGATGAAAAATGTCTTGAAGTACGTTATGGAGTGTAACAAGAATTGTCTCATTTCTTGGACAGCGAGTGTGTTACTTAATATTCTTTGTTCTGCAAACAGAGGAATCAGGTTCTGCAGGCAAGATATTTAGAAGTTTTTTTCCCCAAGAGTCACAAGGGTTCAACTCTAATTACTATGTTTGATTACCACTTATTTTCAAGAAAACAAAACAGCCTTCAAAGTTATTTTGAAAACAGAATGAAACAATTAAAATTCTTTTTTAAGTGTCATGTGTTATACCAAATATTGTTTATTTGCATAGCTATAATTTGGCATTAATTTCCCTTTTATAAATACACACAAAATAGAGATAGGAAAATTGGAATGGTGTAAAATGTGCTAACTCCAGTAAAACACTGCCTTCAGCTGCTATTGCTGAAAACCAAGATTCTCAAAACAAATAAATCACCTTACTGATAACATGTCTTTGACTTCTGATGTAAGCCAGTTAAAACTAAAAACTACCTTAGAAATCTCAGACTTTCATGCAGGTAAAGGGAAAACCAGTATAAAGGCCAAACAAAAGGAGAGTGAAATACAACCCGCCTTAAAAGAGCAACACCAATTAACATATGAAACGAGAAACCAACATATCATATCTGGGCAAATACTATCTATTTGTTCACTTAATTTCAAAACACTTGTCTTGCTCTAATCCTTTTTACTTTGTATGTCTTTTAACCAAATTTCCACTTCAGCTTTTCAAGTCCTTAACACTAAGCTAGCCAATATCGTTGCCATTACAGAGATATGAATTTTGTTTGACTGTTGTTATATTACCTCACGCTGAGTCCCATTCAACTTCTTCCATCAACATTTCATCATTGGTATTTTCCCACTAGAAATATTCCTGAAAATAATTCATTTCTGAAAACACAAGAGCTACTAAGTTAAGTCTTGGCTATTGTTCCCTACTGGAATAGGGTCAGAAGCCTACAGGCTGTAGGAAAGGGAGGTAAAATAATTGAAATAATAGAATCAAAATTAAGAAAAAGTATTTTGAAGGCCAGCTGAAACTCCCAAATGGAAATCTTTACAGTGATTTCTGAGAACACTACATCAGGTCTAAAGTGTTCAGTTTCCCTCTTTGCTACAGGGCAAAGAATATGCTCCTATTAAGGATGACAAAATAAAAGGCACTCTTATGAGATCCAAGAAGAAAAAAAGAAGTCTACCTTCAACTCAGAGTAATATATAGATTTCTTATCCTCTGGTAAGGCTACAGATACCATAGTAAGGAAAAAATGTAGCCCTTCTTTTCAAAAGTACAAGGGAAAAAAGGTGTAAAAAATATAAGAGGTTTTTAATTCAGAAAAAAGAGAAGGGTTTAAACAGAAAGCAGTTGACAAAAAAGAACACGGTCTCTTATTTTAGCTACTGATTTTATAACCTCTGTCTCAAAATAGATGTCCCTCCCTTTGATTAAAATACTGCGATAGCCAAAGGATACTACATGTACACATTAAAATCAATAACGTTAGTAGGTTGTTGGCTTAAAAATGGTTATGAAATGCAAGAAAGTTTACAATCACAGTCACCTTGACTTTATATACACAGAAATTATCAAAGTGAGATGATGGTGAGTAAGCTTTCTTGTAGTCCATATCTGACAACAGAACATCACTAACATATTTAAGCATTAAACAGAGAAAAAGAGCTATACATATAATCAGTTACTTTATTACTCTTACCTTTCCAAAATGGTACTTTGCAAGTTTAAATTTTAATGTTCTTATGTTAGTTTTTGGAAAAAGAGGAAGAAAAATCAAGCAAGCGTAAAACCCAAGAAACAAAATCTTCAGAGTAAAAGTTTTCAGCTGGTACCTCCCACTCCATATTCAGTTTCTCAGGGACCATCATGCAGCAACAATCTGGTTAGAAACAAGCAGCCAACGGGTGTGTAATTTCCATGTGAAAATATTTTTAGAAGACACACACTAATAGCATATGTTCTCAGCCTAAGTACAATTTTCTAAATATACGCCCTGAATTTTATTTCCCTAATATTCCTAAGTATGTTCTAGACAATGGGTTCTTGTACAGATATGTTGCTCTTTGAAAGCAACATACATATCAAGCCTTAAACAAATTAAACTCATTAAACTCATTTCAGAGTTCATCTTGGGGAGGCCTGGAAGGAGCCTCTACGAGTCTTTACTGTCAATGTAACGACAAAGTTGGCAAATTATGCTTGAAAAAGAGTGCAACAAGATGCTGATACCCAGATTCAGAAAGTTGAATTGGGGATGTATGTTCGTTCACTTGCCTGAATCAAAGCATTTTCGAAAATTGTATCTAAAAACCCTTCTACTCTATGTTAAGAAAAAATAGTTTCAAAAGGTAAAGACAGAAATCAGTAAAACAAGAAATAAGCCATGTGCTCATATATTGTTAGTTAAATCTAAACCAAATCTAACCAAATTGACACAACATGTCAGAGAAAACTAGATTTGAGCAAACAGCAGTCTAACTAGATCCCAAAGTCATTACCAGTCCACATCTGGAACACTCAAATCAATTCCTGGTGTCTGTAGGGTTGGCACAATGTAGCAATTATTACTTTAGGATTGTTTTGTTCAGCACAACTGAATTTCTATTGTATCGTGAGATGAAAAACGTCAGTTTCTTTTCTTTGCCAACAAGCAAATTCTCTTCCTCAAGCATATGGAAAAACTCAGGTCTGGATTCTTTCTTTGGCACAAGCTTTCCTTTAACCAATTTGAATATCAGGGAGGAAAAAAGAAGTTATACCAGTAAATCCTACTGTAACAGTATATAGAAAAACAATTGACATCATAGAAAAGTTTGGGTTGGAAGGGACCTTTAAAGGTCATCTACTCCAACCATCCTTCAATAAGCAGGGACATGTTCAATGAGGCATCAGGTTGCTCAGAGCCCTGACCAAAATGACCTTGAATGTTTCCAGGGACAGGGCATCCACCACCTCTCTGGGCAACCTGTGCCAGTGTTTCACCACCCTCATTGCAAAGTATTTCTTAATTATATCTAGTTTGAACACACCCCCTTTTAGATTAAAACCATTGCTCCATGTGCTATTGCCACAGACTCTGTTAAAAAGTCTGTCCCCAAATGTAAATTAATTTACCAATGGACTCTAGACACCCCTAGGAAAACCAAGAAATTACACTACAACGATAAGAAACTAAATCATAAGCAAGTATTACTAGGGCTGAACCCACAATACTCTGAGAGTCCTAAAATGCCATGAGAAAAATTACTGCATACATACAACTACCTAATGAAACTATTAAACAACATTTATTAAGTGGATTTCATTATCTGACCAGTTTTAACAGTTAAAGAGAGCCACTAGAAAAAGAGATTAAATACAAATCAAATGCAGTGTGTCCATAGGAACACCCATCTCAATGGATGTAAAGCAAATTAGTTCCTTCTACTACTCAACATAGCCAAAAGTGCTTTGCACTTCTGATCAAAGTACACAGAAAAGAACACATTCTCCATAATGAAAGGACTAATGAACCAAACCACAAGATCAATATTAAAAAAGACTTCCCACAAAATTATTAGCAAGTTTCATTACAATCTTTCACTGGTCAGGCAAACAGTTTCCTCCAATAGAGCAAAATACCCTCAAACATTAATTAAATCTTCAAAACACTGCTGTAAAAATTACAGGAATAACTACAGTAAAAAGCCAGATTATAGATGTTACAATGGACCCATCATACAAACATATCATTTCGCGATGAAAATCACACAGTGCTAAACACTTTTTAAAAAGGCAACCAGGGTTAACGTGTCAGGAAAGCAGAGGCCGGAAAGCAGAGGCAGGCAGTAAGAGAGAAAGTATTTTTTGTGCTATCACCAGAACCATTCCCTGACTCATTCCCTCCAGCCCCGGGGAGCAGGCTGGCTTGGTCCACACTGACAGCTTTCTTGACGTAAGAGAAGCAGAGCACTGACCTAAATGCCGAAGCTGCTGAGCTCCTTGCAGCTCACGCCCGAGGAAAAGGAGCCAACATGGATTCAAGTGCCAGCTACTGCAGCCCGAGGCTGCTGCTGCTGCAAAAATACTCGCCGAGATCGACAGTCCCACATCACCTCGACCTCTGGAGCCTCAAACCTCTAAAAACGACTGTAAAGCGAAGTCTAGGCTGATATTAACAGCAGAGATTTTCAACGGGGAGCTGCACATCCCCGCAGCGCTTCGGTAGCAGCAAAACTGGCAGCACCAGGGTCTCGGGCAGAAAGGCAAAACCCGAGGTACCGAAACCTCGGACAAGGTTAAACCACATCCTGGGCGCGACTTGAGCCAGGCAGGTATTCAATGAACCGCAGGTTAATCATCAACTCCGTGCCCCGAGCAAGGCGCGGAGCGGCAGCAGCGCCGTCTCTCCCTTTAACCGGGGCCGCCCCTCCCGCCCGGGAGCTGCGGCTGCCGCGCGTCACCCCCCGGACCGAGGGGCGGGCGGGGGAAGCAGGTGCCGGGCCCTCCCCGCTCGGGCGCCCAGGGAGGCGGCGGAAGACCGGCCCCTCAGGCCGTCCCTCCCACCGCTCCGCCTGAGCGATGGAGCGCGGCGGGAAGGAGCGGAAAGTACCCCGGAGCCGCTCGCAGGGCTGCGGCGCAGCCCCAGTCCCGCCCGCCGGCGGCTCCGCCCCCGCTGCCTGCCGGGAGCGGGGCGGGCGGGCCCGCATGGCGGCGGGAGCGCGCCGGAAGCTGCGCAGCAGCAGCAGCAGCAGCAGCGGCGGCCGGGCGGGCTGAGCCGGCCACGCGCGACGGGGCCCAGGGCTGCGCGGGGAGCCGGGAGTGCCGGGAACCGGGAGCCGCGGGAGCGGTGGGAGCCGGCAGGTGAGAGCGGGGCTGGAGCCGTGTCCGCCACGGGCCGGGTGAGGGCTGTGGCCGGTGGAGAGTGGCGGGCCCGGCCTGTCCCGGGCCCTTCGGTGTGGCTGCGGCGGAGAGCGGGGAGGTGTCCCGGGTTCCGAAATGCCGACTGAGTATTTCATGTCAGTAGCTGTGCTGGGAAGGGGCGCGGCCCCTCCGCTCCCCGTTAACCAGGGAAGCGCTCGGTGCGGTGCCGTCTGTGTGTGTCCGTGCACACCCGCCCCTTGCACGGCTTCTCGTGTTCCAGCGATTAACTCTACAAACGCTTTTTTCCTCTGCAGTCTTTCCATAGTGTATGGACTACTCTGGATGTGGATTAAGAACTGAGGAGGCAGTTTAACCATAGGTTTATCTGAAAGAGCTGGGCACGTTTCGGTGTGGAAGGGCAGGACCCGCGCACTGGGCTGGACCAGCTGCCTGCCTGCCTGCCATCCATCCATCCATCCATCCATCCATCCATCCATCCATCCACCCTTAGCCCCTCATTTCCAGTGCCGTGGGACAGAGATTAGGGCTCTGCCTGCGCCAAGTCCCTTTCCAAAGTCTTGCATCTCTTAGCTGCAGCTATAATAAATGCCATTAATTTAAACCATATTAAAACACTGACTGTTTTTTCAGAAAAACTGAATGTTTTGTCAGCAAAGCACGTAGCCTCTGTTGCTTCTCATACACCCATAAAAGCATTTAGTATGAGAATGTTTAAGACAAGTCTGACTGAAGAAGAAATTTTTAGAACTTTCTAAATTTGCACCCTAGTTTATTTTGAAACTTCATCAGTTTTATCTTAATTTGATTAGTCTGTGTTAGACTTCTTTCAGGAAAGAAATTTGTGTTTGCTCCCCCACCATGGAGATTTGCAGTTCTGCCCAGCACTTACAGGCTGTGATGTAGAGAAAGTTGCTTTCAGGTCCCTCTGAATGTCACCTCTTCCCCGCAGCCCATCAGTTGCACCACTCTGCTTGGTGTCATCCACAAATTCCCTGAGGGAGCACCCAGTCCCACTGTCTGTGCCCCGTTGCTGAAGACAGTAAATTGTATTAATCCCAATACGGGTCCTTGAGTGACACCACTCATTACTGGTTTTTGCTTAGGGCATAGAGCTTCAACTCTGGATGTGGCCATCCAGCCAATTCCTTAGCCATCTAACAGTTTACCCATCAAACTATATTTTTCCAATCCTTCCCTTTTTCCTTCTGTCTTCTGCCTTGTCAGCTTTGTAGGTCATTGGAGTTTTCATAGGCAGATTTCACTGGAATAGCAGAAAAACTTGTGCTTTGCTGAGTTTTCTGCTTTCCTGTGAGTTCAGTTAGCTGGTGGAAAGTAGCATAAATGCTTTAGAACGTGATCCAGTAAGTTTGAAAGTGCATTCCTGTGTACTTTCGCATCTGTAATGCACTTATTACACTTGGCTACAATGGATTGTTTCAGTACTTGGTGCAGCAGTCTTTTCCTTTGTTGTTTTTCTGGCAGCTTTGTTGATCTCATGCCTAATTTTCATACATTGTGCAAAGATCACCAGTAACTTCCTGCAATGTTACAAGCACTTTGAAAAGTATAGGCAGGCCACTTAGTACCACTCTGCATATCTAGTATTGGCAGACCTGTTTTATTTGCTTTTTGTGTTTATGTCTTTGAACTGAAAGGATAATTAATTTTTTTTAAAGTTGCTATATTCACAAGAGGAATAAAAGTCTTTACTCCAGTACTGTAGTACTACTGCTGGGTGATTATAGCTGGGGGGAGGTATTGTACATCTCAGAACAGTATTTAAGCTTTAAAAAGAAGAACAGAAGTAACAGAGACTGAACATAATTGAAAAAAACCAACTTGCTTTCCTTTTGAGAGGGCTGACAGGGAAAACAGGGACTTGCAAAGGAATTTGAAAGAATAACCTGAAGCTTATTAGTGTTACTAACCTTTTAAGTGTGTGTTTTATTTATGTGGTGAGAAATTTCTTGGAGAATTTCTGTCATGTAAGCTATGCTTTTTATTTACAATGGAGAGCTGAGACTGCTTCAGGCCAAGGAATTGACTAAAAGTCCCTTGAAGAGTAAAGTTATGTGTTTTAGGGTGTTATCTGATATAACCTGTGATATAGGTTGATATCTGTACTACTTGTAATTGTATTTAAAAAATCAGCTTCCTGGCTAGACTAAATATATGATAATATAGTTGAGTTGCAGTGTGATAGTGCTGTTGCCACTGGATGAAAAACTGGGAGTGCTTGCTTTTCCTTTATAGTCCAACAAGTGTGCATACTTCTAGCTAATTCATCACTTTTCACCTTGCGTGAGCCCAAGACCGTACTGTTTTTTATGCACCTTCTAGCATTACTTAGAAAACTAAACATGTGCTCTGAGGCATGTGTGTTGATATTTTTATGCTCTTGTCTTCTCTTCTGTTACAACCACTAGTTTTATAAGTCAGGGTATACTTATCTCTACATGCTGCAGCGTGATAATTCTGAGAAGTGCTGCTGAACACGTTGAGAGTGTCAGTGTGACACACCATCATCTCATTTTGACCCAGTCTTAAGTTGCCCTTGGGGTCTGATTTGAAATGAGTGGTTGCATTGTTCTACTGTGATGTTTTTAATTCATGCTCTGTTGGTTTTTAGCATTCTGTCGAGTTCTGTAGGGTCTCGCCTTGCCAGATATTATAAATGCATTTGGGTTGAACTGGTATTGGCACTGGTCTCAAAGAATGCCTTGAGAAATTTCCCTTTTTGAAAGGAACTAGAATCCGAGTTGATGCTGTACTGTATGAAAGGGTTGAAAGGACACCATGGTATGAGAGAAGATGCTTTTCAGTGGAAGTATGGAAAAGGGAACAGTTGTGGCTGAAGGAAAGATATTACGTTGATGATTTTGCAATTAAGCTTACCTTAATTCCTCATGCATCTTGAAGAGATACGTATTTATTCTAGTTAGTTCCACTGGAAGTCAGCAGGAGCAGAACTGGATCCCCGTAGTTCTGCCCCCCCATTTTGCTGGCTGATTCAAGGTGTAGTTAACCCCAGTGCCAGTGAAAAAAATTTTGACTCTGAATTTAAGAGTCATTTGAAATAGAATATTCAGTGTCACTTGTAAAATATGCAGTGGAGTTACATAGTAATGATAACTGTGGAAGAGCTTTAGTTTGGGAGGAAGACTATAACATTGTTAAATTAACATTAGGAGAAGTTTCCAAAAATGGCAGTAGCAGCAGAATGCCCTTCTGTAGTTAAACATTGTTATGTTTGCAGGACAAACTTCTAACAGTTTATTATGCAATAAATTCACTGTTTTGAAAGATGCAACAGTGGGGTTTTTTTGGTTGGTTATTTTTTTAATGGTCCTCAGCACTAACCTATAGCCCCATGGGATCTTACTGTGGCCCTTTTTAAAGTTCATTCTTTCTGAGGGTTAGATGCAGTAAGGTGAGATGCCCAGCAGGACTTCTACATTTCTGCACTTGGAAAATATGTGAGACCTTGTAGTGCAAAGAATAGATAAGCTTGCAAATTCAGGACTTAAAGCTGTTAAATCTATTATGTGACTTAATTTAAAGTTTTGAGTTCATAATCTGTACTGGAAAAAAAGTATTTTCTGTTAAGGAAATACTCTTCTGAATTCATTTCCACAAATTATACAAGCTGCATTACTGTTGCTATTTTTTGTTTCCCAAACTTCAGCCTAATTTTTCTTTAATTGTTTTATTTACTTCTTATTTTTCAGGAGTCTTTGAAAAATCCTTAGTGGTCATGACATTGTTACAAGTGACATAAGTTAGCCAGTGGCTCAGAATGATGGATACCCAGAAGACTACAAATGGTTTGCAAGTGATTGGAGAAGGGACTGGTATAGGGAAATCGACACTCCACATGGTGGGGTATTTGGGAAAAGTCAGTTGAAACTTGTTTTACATATGTGCAAAGTTCATATTTTTCTCTGTTTTGAGAGATTTTTAATTGGTCTTAATTTTACAAAAAAAATTCTCAAAATTATTTTCCACGGAAATCTATAACAATGGCGAAAGATTATTCTCAGTAGATCAGTGCCTCTGATTTTTTTTACTGGCACTATTTTTATAATTGTTTGCATTCTTATGAAAATTGATTTGTCTTAAAAAGATCTGAGCTTGTGTTCTCTGGCAATAAGTGCCCTGTGGTTTAGTTCAAGTAGAATAAAATGTGCATAACTGTGTTGTTAAAGATGCCTTATTTTAGTATTTAAATAAAAATATAAATTTATTTAGAACATGCTACCATACAAATATATAAATACTAAAAAAGAAACCAATGTAGTTTACTTTTTCACATTGTATGGTATTATATTTAGAAGTTGCACATTGTTTTTTTATCCTGATATGTATGTCTTACCTTTGGAGAATATAAGAAATGCATAAATTTATGCTGCTTTATCTTTCTTGGTTTATCTTTATTTTAGAACTGTAATCCTGTGGAAACAACTGCACATGAGTATTGTCCAGTCTGCAAAGAGAAGGGTCAGATCCAAGCTTTAAGGACTTACCGTATTAATTTTGAAGAGTCCATTTTTCTTTGTGAAAATCCTCAGGTATTACACTAATAAACAGTTTTATTTGGCAGTGCAGAGGCCTTTACCTTCAGTGGTTACACCTCTCTAAATTCATGACTTTGGTGGTAGTAAGCAGACTATTGAAATAGGACCCCTTTCAGTCTGTATGCTTAAGGGTATTTGCCTGTATATAGAAA